TCCTTATGCTATTTCTCACAGGTCTATCAATATTTACATAATTGCTGCAAAATCATGTTTTGCTAGTTTAAATACCAGATCTCTGGGGAAATCTTTTTGCTATCTAGATGTTTCTTTAATGTGGCCCGTGAGTAACCACAAATTGTGTGACAGGCAGATTAAATCATTAAACCAAGTGCATATTCCACTTAGCCTGCTGCCCAGCTTCAGGAAATTGCTAGAAATTATTCACAATGTTGAATACTGTTAATACGCAACTGACATCGCAAAATCCAAAGCAATTCCACATAGACAGTCATAGTCTCTGGCTGCAAAAGGATTTGTCTTCATTTGAGCTGCTTGTCAAACTCACACTCTTGTTGTGTCAAATATTTATAAAATAATAATTTGATATTAAGAAAGCAATTTATGCGTATGTTCATTTTCTGCGACAATCCTAGATTATAACTGTTATAACTACTAATGCAGACTATAAGATATTGAGCTAGTTCTTCTGAATTAAGCATATTGATATATATTAGATAGAACATCCTTCAACATTTAAATGAATGTATAAATAAAAATTGCAATTGTATCCTACTTCCAGGGAGGATACCATATGAAGTTCAGTGGGATTTATTACAGCACAAAATTGTAGATAACTGTGTATAAAACATCAAGGCTATAAAAGCTTATCCTTGTATGAAGTTCCTCTCAGCATTTTTAGGGAAATGGCATTAAACTCCTCTTTTTGTCTGAGTAAATATGCATAGAATGGAACAACCCATTTACATCCTAAATTTCCTGGGTCAATTCAACGAGTATTATAACCAGATAAGTGCTTAAAATTATGTTGTATAAGCACTGAATAAAAATATTGCAGTTCTAAAATTACATCCAGCAAACCTTTCCTTCGTCTTAAATTGGGTCTTTCAGAGTTACTGGTCAAGTTTGAGCTCTGGGGAATTATACTAGAGAACATAGTGCCCTGAAATTATGATGTGCCCTATGAAAAAGCATCTGCCTGGCTATATATCAAGCATCTGCCAGCAATGCCACCACAAATAGAATGACGTAAATGGTGTTATGCATCTGCCCCCTGCTCTCAGCAATAGGAAGTTTCGGGGGGGGCACACCTATAAAGGGTTCTGTTCCTTTGTAAATACATCACTGGGAGCAAGCGGAGATGACACATCATTAACACTCCAACAAATTCTGGGTTTTCTTCAGATTTCTAAGAAAACTCATAATTCTCCAGTTTTGCTCATTTTTAGCACAGATACACATACATCTCAGTCTTTTCCTCAGCCCACTCTGCCCCACTAAAGATGAAACATCCATTGAAGCAACTTGGCAGCAGAACAATACTTTTTTGGGTTTTGTTTTGTTTTGTTTTTGCTCTCCAAGAAAATAAATTTGCACATATTTTAAGGAGAAAGGTAGCCCTCCATTCACCAACCTTGAATGGCTGGGGTCATGCTTTAGCTAATCCATTTGAAACCATCTATCAAATTTATATTGCTTGAATTAGTTTGTTACAGAGTCAGGCAGATGTTTTGACTTGGATTAGGCATTTTTATCCACCTACTGAATCCTTCTCAAGAATTAGGCTAGGCAGAAGTTGCTGTTTGATGATTTTAAAGGCATCCTCGTTTACTGTTCTAAGTGAAGCTACCTTTTGCAATTGACTAATGGTGATTTTGTCAATGCCAATAGTGTTCAAATGGTGTTAGAGTTGTTTTGGGATTGCACCCGAGGCACCTTTTACTATTGATATTATTATTATAGTTGGTCACATAGTCAGCCAGATGTTTAGTCTGCATATTCCCCAACAAAACAAGTATAGTAGTTTCAACATATCAACAATGCAGTGGCATCCACCCTATATAAGGACTAAGTTTTCCAGGAAACAAAAAAGAAATGGGAGTGTATCTATGAAGAATGGGATTAGCTCTACTACAACAGTACATTAAATTTGCTACCTTCTCTTTGCTGCCAAAATCATATATTCACCTTGCTTGGAAAATAAAGTTTCCATCTCAGAAGTGCTTTCTCTCTCTCTCCCTATTTCCCTCTCCCTCTCTCTCTCTCCCTCCCTCTCCCTCTCGTTATGTTTATTAAAAAATCCCTTCTCATCTCTATGGGTGGTATGTGTCTTCCCAATCTCAGATCCTCTACCAGTGGCCTGGGAGTTTGAGAATGCTGCACAGTATTTCAGCAGTTCCTAGCACTCTTCTGTACAAAGAGCTCTGATGTTGTTCCTGGGATCTGTTGGACCCCAGCTTAGGGGTCACAGTCCCAAGTGCCCCTATTACCACTGGGACCACGTTAGCCTTTACTTTCCACATCCTCCTCTGAGACTCTGGTATTTCTCCAGCTTCTCATATTCCTTCATATTACTGTTATCACTTGGCACCATTACATCTATTACACCATTATCACTATCTTCTGGCCCTTGTTTATTACAATGGCTGGTTGGTTGGCCATTACTTGCTTGTCCATCTAATTCTGGAAATCCCACAGGATCTTAGCCCTGTTATTCTTCACAATCTTTTGTGGAATTTCTTATCAGGATTTGGGAGAGTTTATCCCATACATTGTGCAGGTGTTCCTATATACAGTGCTAGCTACTTGGTTGTGCTGCTTAACTATGCTATTCCTGCCTGCATCTTATATCATGTACAGTATTGCACTGTCACTGACATCTGTATCTTGATACCTTCAGTGTGGTAAATCCTGCTTTTGTGGATCTGGTGCTTAGCGCCTGTTCTTGTGCTGCTATGATCCATGCTTCAGTGTTGTGTTTTAGTCCAGCCCTTTCCAGCCTCCAGTAGAATTTCCCAATGTCTGCCATTCAGCTACGTCAATGGTACAACCTGTGCAGGGTCTTGTTTTGCCAAGGCAAATTCTCTGCTTGGTCTTCCTCCCTTGTCTGCTGCTGCCTCGGGTGTTCTCTCAGCAGCTCATCTTTGATTACCATTTTATTGATGTGCTCCTGGATGTTCTGGGTCTCATCCATGATAGTGGCTTTGAACCTCACCACACCTTGTTTGCCTCTTTCCAGATGTGTACAGTCTCTGGGTGTTGGGTCTTGGGGTACATTTTAAGGCGCTTCTGGGTTTTCAGATTGGCAGAGCATACATACTGATGGCATGAATGGCTCAATGTTCTTCCCATTGAGCTTGCTCTTCAGGGCCTATCTTAACTTTTGGTAATACTTTGATATTGCCATCTTCCTTGCCTCCTAATTGTGGTTTCCACGTGACTGTAGCATAACCAGGTATTTGTAGTTGGTCTATATGTCTCCAATGTCTCCTATGTGGCTTGTTGATGTGATAATTCCACCCTGTCTTCCCTCTTTTGTCGACCATCCAGCCACACTTCTCCAGTAGAATGACATCCCAATGTCCTCACTATAGATCTGTGTCAGATGAATCTGTGAGTTAATGTCTCGTTCACTGTTCTTGAGGAATGTAGAGCCATGTCTTCAAGGCCTCCAAAGAGTATTTGGGGTGTTTTTCCTCAAAGGCTATGGTGGTTTGCATTTTAATATTTTTCTTGTTCTTAAAAATAAAAGTAGGAGAAATTTTGAAGAACTGAGTTTAAGATTAATATCATGTGTTGAATGAAATATTAGGTAGTTATTGAAAGCCAGGAGCCACAACTGCTTTTTATTATGTTTCCTTAGAGTGAGTGTTCAGTGAGATGTACAGATGGGAAACGATATTTAGTGCAAGGGTTAGTATCTTTTTTCAAAAAAATTAAGCTCCTAACTTAATTACAAAACTCTTTGACTTACCAAACACTTGACTACATTGCCAAAGATGCATTATTGACACACTAAAATTTTGCTGATACAATAATGCTTTCAGCAAAAGTGCTCATTGGAAGTGGAAGTGATGAAACATACATGGAATAGGATGGAAATTCTTCCCTTGACATTCTAATACAGGGGTATCAAACTCGCAACATCACGTGACATGTCACGACGTATTGCGACTTTTTTGCCATTGCCGGCAATGGGGTGGACGCGGTTTTACTATGATGAATCCGTCCCGTGAGCCGGCAGTTTGACATCCCTGTTCTAAGACAAGGCTAAACTGAATGATGATGATTTATTTATTTACCACATTTGGGAACCACCCATCTCCCTGGACACCTATGTCTCTTAGCCTATATTTGCAATGCCATTTGCATTAGCAGATCTATTCTTCAAATCATTAATATAGGTAGTCCTCGACTTAAAACAGTTCATTTAGTGACCTTTCAAAATTACAATGGCACTGAAAAAAGTGACTTATGACCATTTTTCACACTTACGACTGTTGCAGTATCCCCATGGTCATGTGATCAAAATTCAAACTCTAGGCAACTGACTCATATTTATGAAGGTCAGTGTCCTGAGATCATATGATCAAGTTTTGCAACCTTCTGACAAGCAAAGTCAATGGGGAAGCCAGATTCACTTAACAATTGTGTTACAGTGATTCACTTAACTATGGCAAGAAACTATGGCAACTGCAGTGATTCACTTAACTATGGCAAGAAAGGTCCTAAAATGAGGCAAAACTCACTTTAAAATGTCTCACTTAACAACAGAAATTTTGGGTTCAATTGTGGTTGTAAGTCGAGGACTACCTGTAACAGGTCCTGGGTTACAGGACTGTGTTTCTGAACTTCAAGATGGCTGGGGAAATCTGGGAATTGAAGTCCACATAAACGTCGCCGAAGTTGAGAAACACTGCTCAAAGCCATTGGCCATTGGCTCAAAGTCCAATTGATGGAATCCTAGGGGATTTCTGTTTTCGTCTGTAATTTCTCATTTTCTCCCCTAAGTGTACAACTGCGATCCCGCTGATTAAAACTACTCATCTCCCACTGCTGGCCGTCGCGGCCAGCTCCCTTTGCGCAGGCGCAATGTTCGGTTCTCCGGCTCACGTAATAGACTCTGCCAGCTTCGTGGACCAAAACCGAGTGACGTAGTCAGCCGGGGCTAAACCATGTGAGGCGGCCGCCAATAGCGCCGGGTAAACGTCCGCCAAGATGGCCTCGGCGCGCTACCGGCGCTTCTTGAAGCTCTGCGAAGAGTGGCCCGTGGAGGAGACCAAGCGCGGCCGTGATTTGGGAGTCGTGGTGCGGCAGAGAGTGATGCAAGCCTTCCGCGAGGGAGAGAATACTCAGGTGGGACTTAGCATTGGGGGACTTGCGCTGCAAGGGCTGGGCTAAAGCGATTGGCGGCGCCAAGGTCATTTACCTTGCAGCTATAAAGCCTCTTCGTCCCGGGCCAGAGCGAGGAAGAGGTTGAGTTCTCACGCTGTTAAGTGGTTATGTGTAGAGCCGGGGCTCCGGCAGGACTCGGCTGCAGCAGGCGCTGCTGTGTAGACGGCTATGAAAAGTTCAGGACTTGCTCTTTTTCCGCCGGCCACCTTATCGGTTTATGAATTGGGGATTAAACGATTAAGAGGCAGGCACGCGTGTTGACTCGAAGGGAAGCCTCTGCATGTTTTCCAGTTCTGGGATCTGGGAGGACTTGTGGATCTCCAGTTTGCACGAAGCTTCAGGACTCTTTTTTTTTGTTTTGAAACTTCATGGAAGCATGAAGGGGGGTTAGACTAGAACAGAGGTCTTCAAACTTGGCCCTTTTATGATTTGTGGACTTCAACTCCCAGAATTCCTCAGCCAGCGAGCCTGGCTGAAGAATTCTGGGAGTTGAAGTCCACAAGTCATAAAAGGGCCAAGTTTGAAGACCCCCTGGACTAGAAGATCTCCAAGGTCCCTTCCAGCTCTATTATTTTCTTATGAGTTAAGATGGAAGTGGGTTTCCCCCCCCACCTCTTATCTTTGGTACTGTAATAAAGCCAAAATACATATAAATATTGCGAAAGATTCTCCTTGCCCAAAGGCAGGGAGATTGTACTCATTGCCCTGAGAATTGCTAGCACCTCAGAACTATGGAGAAAATGGAGAGGTGGCAACTTGGCATCATGATTTTGCAAAATGTATCGCTCTGTGTCATATTTCAGAGCCTACTCGGTCTCCAGGAGACCCAGACCCTCCGGCCCGGGACTACCGGCTGGTGTTATGTAACGCCAGGTCCGTGGTAAATAAGGCCCCCCTCATCCAAGATCTTATTTTGGAGGGGGGTGCGGACCTGGCGGGTATTACCGAGACCTGGTTGGGCGTCGAGGGAGGAGTCCCTCTCGTAGACATCTGCCCACCAGGTT